GTTGCTTGCAGCCTGTCCCTCCTCCCGGGTTCTCTGAGGCAGGAAGTGTCGCTCTGTCTGCCGAGCACTGTGCCCTTCCTGGTGGGCGGAGTGGGGTTGGCTTGTCCCTTTTCCCACCTGCCTTCCTCCTTCCCAGGGTGATGCGCCTGACGCGGCTGCCTCCTGAGATTGTGGAGCACAGTGAGCCCCTGCAGGTTGTGCGGTACGACCAGGGAGGGCACTACCACGCTCACCAGAGACAGCCTGCAGCCACACCAAACTGATCAGCAATGAGAGCGCTCCCTTTGAGACCTCGTGTCGGTGAGTGGCGCCCTGGAGGCGGGGCACTCGGCCCCTAGCTGCGGGGCTCGCTCTGGGCAAGAGCCTCGCCGAGGGGACCCTGGTGTGAGACGGGCGGCTGAGCGCAGCACGTCGATTGTGGGTTTGCTCGCTGCCCTGCCCAACTGGAAGGGGAGTGAAGGGGTTAACCCCTTGTGTCCCTCCAGCCAGTGCAAAGAGAACCTGCCTGGCTCCAGCAAGCTGGAGGCCAGAACAGCGCCCTGCCGCGCAGAACCCTGCGGGTTAGCCAGGAGCAGGTGAGGGGCCCTGGGGACACTGTCCTGGTTTGGGGCCAGGCAATCCAGCCTTGTGGCCCTAAGCATGGGGTGCGAGGACGGGGAGTTCAGGGAAGGGTTTGTCACTCTTCCAGTGGCAGCATGCAAGCGGCTGTGCTCTCTTCCAGCTACGTGACGGTGCTGTTCTACCTGAACAACGTGGTGGGGGGAGGAGAGACCATCTTCCCTATCGCTGATAACAGAACCTATGAAGAGATGGTAAAGAGCCTGGCCCTGCGCTTGGCGTGTTTTCTTCGCGGGCGGGGGCGGGGGCTTACACGAGCGGTTCTGCTCTCGCGAAGGGGAAAGGACCTTTTAAACAAAGTGGCAAAGCCCAAAGGGAAGAGACTGGTGCAGGGCTGTGACCAAGAGCCTTCCCGCTGGGGAGCCTCCCGGGGCCGCCCTAGCTTTGCTCCTTGCCTCTTGGCAGGTTTCTCACATGAGGATGAAATGGCTTCAGTGCACGCACGTTGCTGTCACCAGCCAGGGTAGCAGAGCCGGGGAGGGCAGGGCAGGGCAGGCAGATCCCTGCTGCAGAGATGAGGGGAGACTCCTGTTCAGCGCTGTTGTAATGGTCGGGTCTGGTAAAGGGGATGTGATGGAGGGGCAGAGGCTCCACATCTGAGTCCTACTTTGTTCTCCTTTCTCAGTCTCTCATCCAGAATGATGTTGATCTACGAGACACCCGGAAAAATTGTGATAAGGGCAACCTGCGAGTGAAGCCGCAGCAGGGCACTGCTGTCTTCTGGTACAACTACCTGTCAGACGGGGAAGGTACCGTGCACCGCGCCTGTCAGCAGGGAAGGGCGGATTTGGGAGGACAGCAGCCTTGCTTTGGGCACTGCCCTGTGTGGTGACCCAGAATGATGTTGATCTACGAGACACCCGGAAAAATTGTGATAAGGGCAACCTGCGAGTGAAGCCGCAGCAGGGCACTGCTGTCTTCTGGTACAACTACCTGTCAGACGGGGAAGGTACCGTGCACCGCGCCTGTCAGCAGGGAAGGGCGGATTTGGGAGGACAGCAGCCTTGCTTTGGGCACTGCCCTGTGTGGTGACAGGCC